CAGCCAGCGAATGCTGGCTGGGGAATTCTGGGAGTTGAGGTCCAGACATCTTCAAGTTGCCAAGCTTGAGAAACACTGCCATAGATATTTGCCAGATAAATATAGTCAATTCTTTGTCAGGGTTCCAAGTAACACCCTAATGAAAGAAGACTCCAAGGCTTGACGTTCCTCAAAGTTCCGTTTTATTAGAGATGTCATATTGGAACATCTGGGAAAACCCGAATCTGAAAGCTTCCAGGTTTTCCCCATCCAAAAGAAAGTTCAAGTCCCTGCCCAGCACCCACATGTCCATCACATGATTCAATCAGGCACCATCCAAAAGTGGAGATGCCTCCCAGTCACCTCATCGCAGCTGCATGGCCAGAGGGCCTTGATTTTCAGAGAAAGAATGTTATTTTGACTATATATCACCCACACTCTATATCAGTGATGGCTAATGTTTTTTGGCTCGGGTGCCGAAAGCGTGCATACGCATGCAATAGCACGCATGCATGCCCATACCAGTGGTGGGGTCTGGATCCCATTCCAACCGGTACGGTTGGAACGGGCCCAGCAGCATCCACATGGATGCGCACAGTATGTGCATGTGTCTTACCACCTCCGCGAGCCTCCACAACACTCCAGCTGCTCAGCGGAGCATTGCACAGGTGCTGTACATGCCATGCACATGTGTGGAACCACCAAAGACTTAAAATACAGGTAAGGAGCTCGGGCAGGTGGACGGGCCCTCCGGAGCACTGTACCGGAACGATATCTGGTGCTCCGGGCAGGCTCCGGTGCGCCCATACCGAGGTGTACCGCCTGCAACCCACCGCTGGCCCATACCCATAATTCAATCCCCCTGGCACGCCCCAGTGCATGCATGCATGACCCCCCGCTACCTCCCCATTCTTGCGTGTACAACACCCCCCTGCCCTCTTGAAGCCTGGGAAGGGCAAAAACAGTCTCCTCCGGTGGCCCTCCGGAAGCTGGAAACCACCCATTTCCAAACTTCCGGTAAGGCCGTTTTTCGCCCTCCTCAGACTTCGGGGGCTCGCCTGAAGCTTGATGAGGGTGAAAACAGCCTCCCCCAGCCCTTCGCAGGCCCTTCGAAGGCCAAAAATCAGCTGGCTGGCATGCGCATGTGCACTGCAGCTGACGTACGGCAGCTCACGTGCCCTCAGAAGGCCTGAAGGCCCAAATGTAAAAGATGGCCTCCAGGTCTGACATCCTTATTATTCAGAGGTTCCCATATTAGCAAATCCGCCTGCTTGCTAAAATATATTTGTCGCCCCCAAATCAACACGTGGCACTTTTCCACCATTCCTGGACATGCTTAAAGCGGAGACAAATGTGAGTCACCCAGCGCACATACATTTTCAGCTGAGTTTCAGTGAGGCGATGTTCTGCCTTCTTGTTTCAGCCCTCACACTGCAAACCGGTGTCATCTGTTTCCCTGAGGAGCAATGATTCATTATTTCCTATTTCATTGTTCGTAGTGACTTTATAGAACACAACTACCGCGGAAAATGAGAATCAACGGTACCAGCAGGAGCACTGAAAAGTGAGCTGAGTTAGAAAATAGGATAATTCAGTACCAGATTAAAAGTGTTATTGAAATACAGCTAACTGCTCTGCTATCACAAATCACTTATGTTATTAGAGATATCAAGTGCCGTGGGAACACCAGGGAATTAACTGACCCAGTCAACTAACTCACTAGTTATGATCCAATAAGTTCTTTCAAGAGAGTGAGAAATGTTCTTTACACTTTTTCACTGTGGGTACAGAACANAGCCCCGTTCCAACCGGTTCGGTTGGAACGGGGCTGGCGGCGTCCTCGTGCACGCGTGCGGCGCATGCATGCGTACTAGCATCTGTGCGATGCTCCAGCTGCTCCTGGAGGATCGCGCAGGCACTGTATGCGTCCTGCGCATGCGTGGAAGCGCAGAACTCATCAAAACCGGGTAAGGAGCGCGGGCGCGCGGGTGGGTCCTTCGCCGTTCCCGGAAGTTACTTACTTCCGGGTTCGCCGACCAACCGGTTCGCAGGGACCGCCGCGAACCGGTTGAAACCCACCCCTGCCGTGACTAGAAAGAAGCCCTACACCAGCTCGGTACTTAAGCTTCATTGCAGCAGCGAAGATTGCTGGTGCCCCGGTGCAAGTTGAACAGAAGCACCACACGATCAGAGCTTTTTCTCAGTCTGAGCTGCACCAGCACCAAGTAACCTCACTGCTGCAGTGAAGCTTGGGCAGAGAGCTGGAGTCTTTCTCCAGCCAACAGACTGCCAGCCAACCTTGAGCTGGTAGCCAATCTGCTCCGAAGCCCAGAGCCTCAAGACTTTTGAGATGACAAAAGCAGCGGGACTCTGCACATGGGACTTTCATGGTTCCTGCATCTTCCCCCTTCATCTTCAGTTCTTTCTGTGTGCAGGCAAATATCTACATAAGATTTAGCCCATAATGATGTTCTATCATAGGATATGCGTGGTGCTTAAGTGCAACCCCCCCTAAAATAAAAGTATGGAAATTATAGAAACTCTTGAAGAAGGATTTATAAATAGAAATATATTTTCCAATGAACATATTGAGTAAATCTCTTCTAGTCCAGCAATGAAAGAATATTTATGGGTTTTGTGAGGAATTACCTTGGGTAAAGCATACTTTGGCAATTTCATCTGTATAAATTCATTCCGATGATAAGAAACATAGTATTTTGTTTGGTTTCCTGAAGACACCTGTGAAAAGAGAGGGGAATATGATTTTATCTGTGAAAAAAATCGTAAAAATGTACACAGCAATGACTTATTTAATTAGGAACAGGAAGTATAGAGGGAGTGCACACACAAGGGGCACTAATACAATCATGGTCATCTGCAGAAATTCTTCTTGAGTGAAGTGGGGAAAGAAAAGCTATGGGTAGTTAACAGCTTTCGTGTTTGCACTTTTAAACATTATATTTGGAGTGAGAAAACAACCGGGGATACAATGAGCAAAGATGTAAAAAACAAATGAGACTAGCTTTGTTAATCTGGGGGGACTCAACAAATGCAAAAATGAACTGTACGGACACAAAGTTACCAAACCTGTGCTAGACAGTCTTGAAAGTAGCTACCCAATTAATCAGATATATCCATGATGGCGAACCTATGGCACGTGTGCCTGAAGTGGCATGCAGAGCCATGTTGTCTAGCACGCGTGGCGTCGGCCGTTCCTCTTCCGGGTTTCTGGCCTGCATGCACAAGCAATGATCAGCTGGCCTTTGTGCATGCAGCAGTGCTGGAAACTGGAAGAGCTGGTCTGTGAGCATGCACGCTGGCTAGCTGATCGGTGCATGCGCAGAAGTAACCGTAAGAGTTGCCTGCCGGTGCACATGCTCACGCTGAAAGTCGGAAGTAAATTTTTCAGTACGTTCATGTCCCTGGGCAACTCCTCCTCCTGGTTGCGCCCCAGGTGAGCGCACATGCAAAGTGCTCCCTTTTCGGCACTCAGTGCCACACCTGCGCCCGCATATTCCCTTCACCACCACTGAGCTATATGATAGAATTGAAACTATCTGTCTTTTGGTGTGAAATTTGAAATGAATAATCTACCTGCTAAGTAAGGATGATGCAAATTTTGCAACATCAGAGACAGTTTAAACTGATTCTTGTATTTGTAGTAATCTCATGGAAAAATGAAACCAACAACAAGAACAATTAGCTTTTAAATGGCAGCTTAGGCTAGAAAATAACTTATCATTTGGAGGTAAGGGAGACACCAACATTTGATTACGGTAATTTTTACACTATCTTCTTGAGATTGCATTTATTTCTTTATTAAAAAGCTTCATAAGTAAACAAGCATAGATTTGTACTGAAAATTATGTAAATATTAACATAGTCAATGATTTTACCTGAAGGAATATGTAGTTATCCTGTACTGTCAAGGAATTCTTGTCAATTCTACCACTGAAGGGAGATTTCAGTGATTTTTCAGAACAATTCTGAAACTGACAGGTCATGTAGTAAAAACCTGTTGAGAACCAAAAATAATAGATAAAAGTAAATAAAGAAATGCTTACACCATTTGCCAGAATAAAAGCTGAATGATTCATAAAGTCCACTCTGGAGTAGTGATCTGCTTTCCTTGATAGCTGTTTTTTTTAGATTTTTGAGCAAGGTTCAGGCACATGTAAATTACAAATACCAGAATTCCACATAATGTATAATATTTTAATAGAACCATATGAATTTTAGGGTATTTAGTACAGGAATAAAGAATTCCATAAAACCTCTCTATAGGCTTGTCATTTCTGACTTGGAGGTTATAACACAAAATTTTGTTTTTGTGGAATAAAATCTACAAAATTAGAACAAAACATTGAGAACAACTTTGAGACAGGGCTCTTCAAAGAGACAGGGTTCAATCTAGAATACTGAATAGACATACCAGTTACAGATATATCAATTACAATTGCTGCAACAGCACAACATTTCAGAATCCATAGATGTGAGCCAATATAGCTTGGAATCTAAAATTGGAATGTTAGATTTGCTTATAGCTCAGATGGATAACTTTTAAAAATATAATATAGCTTTTAAATCAGAACATGAAACATTTTTTATTTTATTTTTTTGTTAAAATGGCGGAAATTATGAATACCTGCCAAATAATAACCACAATCAACTTACAAATGTTATTTCTAATTATATTCTACTCTGCTTGCAAATGTGGAGGTGACATATAAGAGTAAATCTGGTAATTGATCTTTCTATAAAAATGTAAAGTCAAAGAATGAATATTGAATAAAAGGGAAAACAAAAATGGGCACTAAAGGTGAGTTTGGATATAAATGTAATGGATAAAGCAGTGTTTCTCAACCTTAGCAACTTGAAGATGTCCGGACTTCAACTCTCAGAATTCCCCAGCCAGCGAATGCTGGCTGGGGAATTCTGGGAGTTGAAGTCCGGACATCTTCAAGTTGCCAAGGTTGAGAAACACTGCCCTAGGAGTTTATATTAATGTGAAAGTCCATCAATGTTGTGACAATCTGACCTTCTAGGTTAAGACATTTTCCAGAGCATGGAGGCCGTGCTAGACACCCCCATGAAACAGACTAAAACATGCAAGGCTGAAAATGTAATAATTAAAAAGTAGACTACAATTAGAGAGATCTGGATTCAAGACACCTTCAGTTATGATTTGGCTGATCATTCAATTATTGTGATTCAACATAGTTTATGGGCCTCTTATTGTGAAAACAAACTTTATGCGGTTTACAGGTACTGGAGCAAAATAGAGCTATTATTTTAAATAGAGTTTTCTCATTTTTTACTTAAAAACAGTATTTAATTATACAATATAGAGTTGCTTATTTCACTTGCAATAAACTTAGTCAGCAAACAT